CCCCCTGCACCCAGAGACTTACCCTGTCCAGCTCTGCAAAGTCTTCTCCTCCAGTGAGTCCTCCTTCCAGCCCTGACACCCTTGAAGCTCTCTCTCAGCCTTCCTCCTCTCCCTGAGACCCCCTGGCAGTGCCCTCAGCCCTGCTGTGCTTGGCAGAGGAGCTGCTCCTGGGCAGAGCTGGTTCTCAGCACCGCTGCCCGCTTACCAGGAGCTCCCTCCAGCCCAGGAGCCCGGCCCAGCTCAGCAGCACAGCAACAGCCCAGGGCACTTTAATCACCCCTCCTCTGGGTCTGGTGCTGTGTCCATGAATCTCAGAAAGGGGGAGGAAATGGAAGAAATGTCTCCAGAAGTCCAAGTCAGATGCAAGCTCCTAAGGTTTTTGCTGGTTTAATGGTCCCAGGGAGGATCATTACTGACAAACTTCCCCAGGGCTGGTTAGAGCAGGACCCTGGAGACAGAGATGAGAAAGAAAAAAAGGCCATATGAAGGTGGAACAGATTCTGAGGAAATCTGGATGTGTGACAGGAAACCAAATGGCCAAGGCCTCCTCAGGTCTCAGCCTGTCCTGATGCCTGGGGCTATTCATAGAATCACAGAATCATTTAGGTTGGAGAAGACCTATAAGACTATGAAGTCCAACTGTTAACCTGACTCTGCCAAGTCCACTGCTAAACCACCTCCCTCAGCAGCAAATCTACAGAACTCATAAACATGTCCAGGGATGGTGATTCAACCACTGCCCTGGGCAGCCTGGTCCAGGGCTTGTTAACCCTTCTAGTGAAGAAGTTTTCCCTAACAGGCAAATTAAATCCCCTCTGGTGAAACTTGAGGCCATTTCCTCTTGTTACCTGGGAGCAGAGAACCAACACCCACCTCTCTACAACCTCCTTTTGGGTAGTTGTTGAGAGCAAGGTCTGCCCTCATCCTCCTTTTCTCCAGACTAGAAAAGACATCTTCTTCAAGGCATCAGCAGTGGAGTTCCTCCTGCTGGGACTGAAGCTTCAGCTGCTTCTCTTTCTCCTCTCTCATGATCTACATGGGGACCCTGTTTGGCAACATCCCGATTGCTGTGCCAGTGGTGGCAGATGGGCATCTTCATGTTCCCATGTCTGTGGTCCTGGGGAATTTCTGCAGTGTGGAAATCTGCTCTATCACCCTATGGTGCCCAGGCTTCTGGCCAGCTTCCCAACCAGGGACAGAATCCTTTCTGCTCAAGGCTGCCTGACACAGTTCTTCTTCTCTGGCTGTTTTGCAGGTACTGAATGCTCTCTGTTGGCTACCATGTGGCCATATGTCAACCCCTGGGCAAGCCTCATGGCCTGGAAGGCCTGCCTTCAGGCTGGCGGCTGGATCCTGGCTGGCGGGATTGCTCATGTCCACTGTAGTCATCACATTGTTTTCCAAGTTACAGGTCTGTGGTCCTAGTGCAGTTGATCATTTCTTCTCTGATTTGACCCCATTGCTGGAGCTTGCCTGCAATGGCACCATGATGCTTAGACTGGTAATTTCCACCATCTGCTCTCTGGATGGAGTCTTCCCATTTGCATTGACATTGATGTCCTAGATCTGCATTGTTTCTGCAATCCAAAGGCTTCCGACCACCATGGGGCAGCAAAAGGCCTTCTCCACCTGCTGCTCTCACCTCAGTGTGCTAATTCTTTTCTATGGTACCCTCATTATTCTCTAGATGATACCCAGGACAGCCTCACTGAGGCAATAATGTGCTCAATAATGTGCTCTCTTTCTTCCACACCATCCGCAAACCCATGGTCAATCCACTCCTCTACAGCCTGCAGAACAGGGAGGTCAAGGGGGCTCTAGGAAATGCACTCAGAAAAAGGGTGCTTTGCATTGAGAGCTCAAGCTAGTTGGGATCCACCAGGAATAAACAGCTTGTGGATCTCTTTTGATTGTGGACCACTCCTAAGTGTGTGTTTTGTGTACTGGGTGTATGGAGGGTGTCTCTAACCAGTAACCTCAAGCACTAACCCTCAGTCCTGCTCCTCCCCTGACACTAATCCCTTGTTCTAACCTAACTGACCTGAGGCCATCTCTAACCTCAACTCTCCCATCTCAGCCCCATCACAAACCCATAAGCCCTCACCCTCATTCTCATCCACGGGCTCATCCTGGCCCCAGCCTTTACCCCTGGCATTGACACATTGGCTTTAACCCCTCAGCTCAGCCCCAAACCCACCCCTGATCCACAAAGCTGGCCAACAGCATGAACCCTGACCAGGTACCCTCAGCAGAACCCCAAACCCTCTCCCTAAGCCTTGGCCTAATCCCCAGCCCTGAAAGGCAGCTCTAATCCCTCAGCCCTCACCTGGACACCTCCTTTCCAAAGCCGCCTCCCTGGGCTCTAAGCACTCACCTTCAACTCCTCCTCACCTGGACTCACTCTGATTGGCAGGACTTGGGAGGAACCAGAGCAGTCCCATGGTGCTGGAAAAGGAACATGAGGGGACCTGTGTCTTGCCAGCTTGTCAGCCACACTAGGAGGAGAAGGGTGGGAATGCTCTGCTGAGGTTGGCTGTGTCCTACGATCTCCTGGGACAGCAGGAGGCACAATGCTGGGAAGGTGGCTGGGAGGTCCAAGAAGCTGACAGGCCAGCAGCAGGCACGTGGCTTGCAGCAACCTGGAAAGGTCACTTTTGTCTGCTCAGTCAACAGGCCACAAGAAGACTGATGGGTTGGCCTATAGTTATGACATCAATTCTGTCTGAGGAGCTCGCAAGGCCAGCAAGCGGCAGATAGCCATGAAGGTGAGTCTCAGGTCAGAGGAAACTCCAATCTCTTTGGGTCCTTGGCCATCAGCACATACCCCACAGCTGGGGTGTTGACTAGGACATCTCATCTGCCCAACCATCTGGTGGCCAGCAGCAGGGGCATGACCTGGAGGCTCTTTTGGAGCTGGGGGCTGTGCTCCGTCCCATCCCCAGTCCGAAGGATACACAGACTCTGGAGGTACCATTTCAAATGCTGTTGGAAGGAGCAAACACTGTGCATGGTGAATAAGGCCAACTGCACACAGGGCTGGCTGAAGGTGGGTGTCATCCCCCTTGACTCAGAACCAGTGTGGCCACATCTGGATTATCAGTGCTGGGCTGTATGACTCCCTGGTCTGGAGGAGTAGGAAAGAAATGGAGTGGCTTTGGAGACCTGACAGTGTAGGGCTTGGGGCCTCTGTGGAGAGCTGAGAGACTTGGGCTCTTTAGCCTGGTGAAGCTCAGGGCACTAGAGGAGCAGGTGACAGCTACTTAAAGGGGGGTTTCAGAGATGTGGAGGAAAGCTGGGTGGGAAACAAGATGGGTGTCACAAGCATGAAGGGCAAGAGGTGCAGGCATTGGACAATGTAGGACAGCCTGCAGGAGAGATGACCAAGGGCTCTGGCCAGGCTGAAAGGCCCAAAGGAACCAAGAGCTTTGTCCTCTTGGCTCTGGCATTTGCCTCTGCCAGCAAGGCCTCAGAGGAGAACCTTTCTGGGGAGGTTTCAGGCTTTACTTGCCCAAGGGTTGTGGTCAGGGTTTGGCCTTTCTCCTTCATCCAAGAAACTGCATGCTTTTCTCACTTGCATTTTGCCTCTCTCCATCAGGAATCCCACCTTCCAATTTTCTGCTCTAACAAGACCCTTGGGGAGACTTTGTCAGTAGTGACTCTCAGTGGGACTCATTAATGCTTCAAGGGACTTGGGGTTTTGCTTTTAGATTTTGACTTCTTGTGATGTTTCTTCAGGCTTCTCTGAGTATCAGAGGTTCATGTAATGAGCCCCAAGTGCCCTCATCTTTTTCTAACTTTATTTAAGTCTTCCAAACCTGTGCAGTTAATTGGAGCTGTTTCAGCATGTAGTTAAGTAAGAAGATTTCAAAGTGCACCTCATAAAAATTGTTTTTGCTTTTAAATGGAATGTTTATGATTTTTCAGTTTAGAGAAGAGGTGATAGAAGCATTGTCCAATCATTCAAAGGGCGATGGGGATGAAACTGGGCTTACTAGTGCAAGCCTTGGTGCGGCATGCCAGTGCTTGTGGGAGGGTGCCCTCGTCAGGTCTTTCAGTCTGCCACGTCAGTGGAGGTGGGAGATGGTGATCCACACAGCAGCAAAACCACAGGGCTCACTGATAGATTAGTAACCATGGAAGTGGCTGAGAATGGTCAGGCAGGAATTAGGGCTTCTGGCCCCAAAATGGAGGTCGGATCAGTAGCCCAGTTGAAATCCATCTCCACCAATGCACGCAGCATGGGCAAAAGCCAGGAGAAGCTGGAGGCCATTGTGCAGCAAGACAACTATGCCATAGCTGCCATCAGGGAAACCTGGTGGGGTGACTCACAGAGCTGGAGTTCTGCAGTCAGTGGCTACCAACCTTTCAAAAAGAAGGGAACTGGATGAATGCCTATTAATTAATGAAATTGATGAGAGGGTTGAGTCCCCCGGGGGAAGAATTGGGGGAAGGCCAAGAAGGCTGATATCGTGGTGGGAGTCTGTTCTAGACCTTTCAAAAAGAAGGGAGCTGGATGAATGCCTATTAATTAATGAAATTGATGAGAGGGTTGAGTCCCCCGGGGGAAGAATTGGGGGAAGGCCAAGAAGGCTGATATCGTGGTGGGAGTCTGTTCTAGACCACCCAGCCAGGATGAAGAGGTGGAAGAAATATTCTATAAGCAGCTGGAAGAAGTTTTCCAATCGCTGCCCTTTGTTCCAATGGGTAAATTCAATTTGCCAGAGGTCTGCTGGAAATGCAATACAGCAGAGAGGAAATAGTCCCAGACATTGCTGGAGTACATGGAAGATAACTTGCTCTTTGGAAGAGGGGACAGGCCTCTCATGAGGACCATGAAGGTGTAGTGAGGCTGTGCAGGGAGGAAATGAGGAGAGCCAAAGCCC